GGATCGTATCACCGGCAGTGCTTGAATGAGCGGTTCTGTTTATAACTGGTGGAATCGAATACGCGAAAATGCCTTAATTTTCGTATCAATGAATGCCAGGTTCTATCTGACATTATCCTTTGTGCATCATCGCACTCAGAACATCGCTTGAGTCAGCAGATATCCTAGTGAGCGCTTACCACCAGCCTTCAATGCAAAAATTTCATATTCAATCATTAATTGATCTTTTCCAACGTATCGTTACTAGGTGGATTAACTTTTGATAAATGCAATTCATAATATAAAAATGCAATGCATAATATAAAAAAAATAACCATTTAATAGACATAATCTCTCAACCCCGTCCGAAAGCTCTCGCTAGATGCGCGTCTCGAGCCAGTCATTTTTTCATTTGTTATCCAGTGAGAGGTAGCTGACGAAAACGATGTAAATGGGGCTTAAGTCATCATTAACATGTAAAAAATGTACTTTTATCACTTTTAATATAAGATTCCTTTATTACATATATGCGTGTAGTATATCTAAAAACGCCATTCTTTTTCTAAATGTCAGCCATGACACAATCTCTTCGTGTAGTAGAAGTGTGTGTGATTTCTGAGCGTTCTTGTTAATATACGTCCAGAACACGGTTGTAATTAGAAGGCGTCAATTAGAATTATATATTTAGTATACAATGTATGTTACTCGGTTTCGGATTTACTTCGAACCGATCATTGAACTTCCTTCAAATGTTCTGCCAAGTAGATTTTCTGTGTCAAGCCACTAGGAACCCTCCGACCACGATATTACAATAAAAAAAATCTGCAGATTACTTGCTATCTGATGCTTTATCGGCGTAAATCAAGATTCAAATACAGTTTCGACCCCCACTCGCCGGCCACCTATGCTTACGTTGGAAGTCCCCCAAGTAGCTGAAGCGATAAATTCTCTGAGGAAAATTGTGTGTCCTTTCGAATACTATAGGCGTTGTACATTTCACGTCTTTAGTATCAAACGCCCAAATATTTCGTCGAAATCGTCAGTATCTCTGGAAAACAAAAAACGTTTTCTGAATTACCCTCGTCCATGAAATTATCACATAGTATTTTCTAACAACAAATTCGCTACTGCTGTTCATTTGTTTTCTCTGCAGTTTCTGCTACAATTTATTGCAATGTTTTTAGCCGGGATGCCTCGCTTCTGCATAAGAGAACCAGCTTAGAGCATAACAGTAGAAGGATGCTTACAACATGTCTCGGTGATTCGGTCAGACAAAGCCAACCGTGGGTGTACGTATGACCTAGCTCCGAAATTTCCACATTTATAAAGCGACTAGTTCTAAGTGGGCGATAAAGCACAAGTATTGGCTGTTCACCTTTTTATTTTAGTGTACTATTTTAGTGTAAAATCTTTCTGACAGAGTAGCTTTCTTATTAATGTCCTGCCACAACCTAGGTAGTAGAATAAATAGTCCCAATTTAGTAGCAGGACTTTTGAAATGAAACAAGCCGACGGCCTTCATGAATCACCTGCGTTAGATAACAAATAAAGCAGAAGTGTGTTGACGAAAAGATATATACGCTTTCTTAATGGAGATTGCTGCGGAAAATAAATAAATACGTGCCTAGAATACTTAACCGCTTGCGGTTCGCGCTAAGATGCAATGATGCATCACAAAAGAGCGAGAAAGACAACATTAAGTTTTAAGGCGTTGCTACGACGAATGCTGCCTTTGCACGATTTCTTTGTCAAGGAAGCGAAAGTAATGGTGAACGATTGTGGGAAGCGGGTAGCTGGCGACGCCACATCGTCGTGTGTAGTCAGCATATATTCCTAGATCTCTCCTCGAAAAGGTTTACCATGACATACTCCTGCGCTACTATAAGCTCAGAAAACATCTTGGCCCCGGTTCAACTGAGAAGCTTTCCGGTAGTCAAACTCCCAGAACGAATTCTGTCGTAAATGTGCGGTTTTTTTTCTTTCACGAAGTAACTATATCGAGTACATAAGTTCATATGAAGGATTTTTCAATCTTTTTTGCCCAACGCTTTATAAGCTTTCCTTTGTGGCTTTCCGCAGAATTATACATTTCTATATACATAAACATTGTTGTCGATTAACACTTAATTAATATAAAACTATCAGCCGATTAGAGTCATGGCCTGACTGATGATATCTTCTATAGACGGAAGACTATTCTATAAAGCATTGTATTTTCGGCTCATTTCTGCTAGTTCTGCCTAGTCAGAACACAGTTGATTACAAAAGGTGCTATGGCCCGACGACAGCGTTCACCAGCTGTACTAATACGACGCTTAATTGCGACCCTCTGAGCAGAGATCTATCAACCGTTAACATGACATCGAAGTTCAGTCTTTACAGGGTACGTATATAACTTAAAAACTACGCAAGGTACATATGTTATTGCAAACGCAGGCTTTGTTTAACGTTATGCTATCAGTCTAAGAGAACTAACTGCTTAAAGTTAAAGTATCAATATATTCAATTAGAAAGTTTATATTATTGTATATAAAATTGAGTGAGATCAACGGTATACATACAAAATTGCAAAATATAATGACCAAATTAAAAAAAAAATTGTTTTTTAAACCAGTTCTTTTTAGTTAAGATCACCTTCATTATAAATGTCTCAGATATGGTTATAGGTAAGTGCTAATTTCTTTTCAATGATCTTCCACTAGTAGATCCGAATGCAATAGGAGTTAACGGCAACCTGAAGGTAAATGCAGTCGCTGTAAGCGAAAACGTCAGGGACGGTAATAATAATCGCGCAGCACGGGTTATTACCTAATATATTTTAAACCATTATAAATATTTTAAATAATATTTAAAACTTCTCCATTTTTAGCGCTTATTCCCTTCGCGTCAGAAATCTGCCTACAATAGAAAATCAAACTTTTCTGTCAGTGCTCTCTATCCTTTCGGTTAAACGAATGAAGTTTATCAGTCATTTCAACCCTCAGCTTGTGACGGAAGGGAAAATTGTCCGATAGCTCTTTGCCATACTTATAGAGAGTGATGGTACATGTAAAGAAAAGGTTAGCGGGCGATATCTTCGATCAGTCTAACCAAACCGATATATCTTATGTATGTAGAAAATTCTACTAGAGAGTATTGTTACGTTAATTGGCGAGATGGTAAGTGCGCTTTTGCTGGTAACGCTATGAATCTTGCAATCACGTCAAGTTACATTCGGATACCAGTCTGCGAACTTTGAAATACCCACGGAACTGGATAAACGATCGCCGGCGGAGGATTCGCGCGATGTTGTTTTTGACGTTGGACCGCTATTTTTACGGAAATGCTTCTCACATTTTTACCAGTTACTGTACGATTGCTTTCAAAGTGTTCTATCGTAGAATATAGTTTAAGATCATGGTCCCAAACATCTAACGGCCTAGTGTTCAAATTTTACTAGATTACCGCAGATATTATATAGTAAGGATAAGAAACTTGGATGTAGGTATGTTTTCGCATACAGATAGTTATACACCAATGTAAATCCTAGCACAGCGTTCTTTTACAGACTTCACAGGGTATTAATATCTCAGCGATTGCATGCAAAAAATAAAAGGTGTAAAAGTTTCATAGATTTAATATCGCATGTAGTTCTGCGCGAACATTAGCTAAAACTTGATATGGTTTAGAAGCTAACCTTTATTCTCTTTAATTACAGAGAGTTTTTGAATGAAGGGCTTTTTCCGTAAGAAAACGAGATTAATATTCAGCTTTTCCATAAGTTTAGAATTTCTCTAGTGGCTCCAAAGGTGATAATTTATTCGTACTTTTGGAAGACTCAATATTGGAGCATATACGCCTACTGACTTTTGGTCTACCCTATATACTACCCTTAATAGAACCTAGTTAAATTGTTGTAATATAATGTAAATGTAATCCAAATGACAGGCCCAACCGCGCTATAAATCGGAAGCGTTGATACGGTTGGGTCACACAAAAAAGTGGCTTTGCCCACCACACATTATCTGTCTCTTAATGGTATTAATATAATGGTCCCCATGACAGCGCAAAGGAAGCTTCGAATTTTCAACTCTGTTTGATTTAGGCTACGACGGAACAGAAAAAACTGCGTAACACATTTCAAGAACATAGCTGCTAGAGACCACCATACAGCAATTGGTTTTCGTTGTCGAAAGGAAAAATCTGTATGGAGAGAACACTTTTTTGCGTATAATCCGCACGGCTCCATTTCTGCGGCTTACTCGACAGAGTTTTTATGGATTTCTCACAGTAAATTATTATACGCTTATAACGAGATAAGCTTGCAATAGGTGTGAATAAATATGAAGCTCATTAGCGATTTCCCATAGGCTAAAGTAATCATCGAGGTAGCTTTTGATGTCTTAATTGAAAGCCCCTATCGGGAATTCTTTAAAAAAGTCGTCGACTCAGGAGTCTACTCCGAGTACATTTGAAAACAGAATTGTAGCCAGTTGTCTACGTTATCCATGATCGCTAATATGGCGCATATGGTTATGTTTAACACCCGGATCTTACAGCCTATTCCGGATTCCGTCTTTCGAATCGATGATGCTAATAATCTGTAGTTAATTATCGACGGGACAGGCTTGCCTATTTACTCACCACAATTCGAGCACACGTTAAAAATAATTTGGTCAGATGCGGGGATGCCTTTAGCAATGTCGAGCCTGATTCAAACTGAGATCCTTGCGGGATCCACGATATAAGGAGATGTAGGTAAACCTATGCCTTTTGCGAATACTTTCGTGTTTAAATAAGTATTTCTAGATCAGCTCTACTTTAGCCATTGGCAAGTAATTTCTAGCGTTTCATCAGACTCACAAAATTACACTGCTTCAATAAACAGCGTTCATCTGCTAAGTACGATTTCGATTTTTCTACGGATATTTTTCAAGCTATAACTTTGCTAACTACCAACAGTTCGTATGTTTCAACTTTAAACTGAAGAAAGTAAAAAAATAATCAGACGTAACGCTTTGTGGAAAAGTAACTGTGATTTATTTAACTCATCGGTATTATATCTGGAAAGATAAAAGATGTTTTAGTGAAGCTCTACAAATGCTCAACGATCAGATCACGATTCCGAAGATACTGCCTTTGCAAACTTGCTCGTAAAATCGAGGTTCGACATGGGTTTGACCCGTATCGATGCAGGTAAGGAGTAGTTACCCGAGTCTTATCACCTCTAATCTTCGAATTGTAATGTACACGCAAGGATCCTAACCTAGAATTGAACAAAACTGATTTATAGGCACCCGTTGCACACAAGTGATTTTTCGTTTCATCAGTCCGCAACAGTCATGCATATTGAATCATGAAATGATACCTTATTGTGACGAACAATATCGTTATTACCGAAGCCTATGAAGGCTTGCATAGGGGCAGGTGAAGATAAACCTAACTGAACTGGATCCGCGACACAGATTTTCCTTTCCGAACGTTTATTTTCACCGAATACCCTCGACATCAACCCTTAGTTTGCATGAAGCATCAAATGCTTACTATCCATTAGCGCGTATTTTCGGGGTTTATTTAGGTGCTATTTGCCTCTCTATCTAGGCAAAAGCTGGACATGACATCGTTGCCTATTTGAAATCAGTGACAAAGTAGATGGTCTTATGAAATTGTTGCACACAGAAGTATGCACAGTTGAAACAATTACCTAGGAAACGGGATTTTCAGAGTTTTCATATTCGAGTGGAACTACGTGTACGTCACTCTACCTTATCGCAATGATTTACACAACAACAACGATGATACAACAAGGCATTGTGCGGGCCAACATGCATTTTTTCTATCAACACGTTTTCGACGTACTAGCCGAATAGGCTGTACTACAATTGAGCTACAACAAGCAGCTTGGCTGTCGGCCTGTCGTTCATTTTTGTTTTTACTTACGCATTATACACTAAATGAACATGGACGAAAATGTTTCGGCAGGCATATATTGACCTTCCAAGGACATTTTGCGTTTAGCCTTTTCAAAGAAGTTACAGTGAGTTAAATGGTGATGATAGTGGTAGCTGTGAAGATATGTTTCAGCAAAACAACGAACACTTGTCGTTGCGATATCTTTGTATAGGAAGCCATTTCCGAAAACGCCTGTGTTTATCGAACTGGATTTTTTGATCCCGATAAATTGAGCAATGAATACTATCGAAAAATGCCAAATGACGGACATTTTTCAAAATACAAAATAGCAAATTCTAGTATTTTACTGGCAAAATATAGGCGTTATAAATGTCAAATTAATTATGCTTCTATACTGCAATGTTAACGTTTTCGCCCTGTCTACTAAAACAGGTTGTACAGCAAAAAAAAATTATAAAAAATTTAGTAAGCAAAAACCAAATTCACCTAAGTGAAACTGACGGAATTGCTCAACTCGGTTATGAACTCGGTTGATGATCGTTCAGATATTTGGTCTGTTTCGAAAGAATTACATTAAGCCCAATGCACGTGGCAGCGTTAGGGGACGATATGACGTACCTTTAGATACATCTATGCACATCTTCCATGCATAATCATTATTTCAATGGCCGTCAAGCCCACTGTATACACTATGGAACTACGAAATGGTAGTTATTAAAAAGTTGACTGAAAAATTACATTTTCATTAGTTCTTCGTTCTCTTAGTTAAATTAAGCCATCACACTGTACAATACAACGCAAGATTCATTCATTGGCCTCGCTGACACGAAGCTGCAACACGAAAATCAGTAGAAATGATTCAGTCTAGCACTAGCTAGCTAACAACAATGTCATCTTCATAGGAACAACAGTGCCCTGGTTGTTACTAGCCGTGTCGATGGCATTTCTCAATCTCGTGCAGCTTTTGTTTGCCATAGGAAATTGCAATGGTTTTAGAAGGTAACCGAGAGCCTGGCTAGAAAAGCAAGAACTAACAGTGAGAACAAACAAGAGAAATAGTCGCTGGCGGTACTATGCAGTGAGTTATAACAGGACAGAGCGAACGCTACCTAGACGTTCTAGACATGGCACGAATACTTTTCGAATATTTAGAGTATCGGGATTAGTGACAATGTTATGAAGAACGGTGTTATGGGCCGTGACAGCTTACGACGACGACAACAACAAATAAAAACATTTCACAGCCCAAATTCTACTAGCGTTGTTAGTCCGGTAACTAAACGATGTGAGAAATGATCGCAGCTTTGTTTTGATAAAACATTCACTAGATTAACACGCTTGGCGTTACACTTCTCGCTACACTGTAGCTCATATACTATGTTATTAAGATATAGGTAAGTATCTAAGTACCTATCAGTGACCCTGTGTTAGCATTCCAGTGTTTCGGTCGATGACCATTACAAAGAAAATTACAAAATGAAAGGCAGGTCGCAATCAATGAGAAGATTAGGTGACCAGCACTCCACAACGTGACCAGCATGAAGCACCGTCTACCACGGCTTCGAAAGGGGACGATTTACTCGAAGAGCCAATCACGAAATGAGCGTCAGAAGAGAGTTTGTTACATTTTCTATATAATATTCGTTTAGGCTAGGGAATCGTTTATAATGTCAATTTATTATTTCTGATTACTCTACATGAAAAGGGTCAGTGTCTGCATTAAAAGCGATGAAAGTTGACGCATTTTTTAAAGAAAAAATGCGTCAACTTTCTAATGGCAAACAAATATCAATAGAACTCAACATGTAAACGACTGAACAAGCAAATCGGTGTTCTTTACCTATGAGCAGAGGCTCGTCCGTCACTATGCGCAGTTACCGATGTCCTTACAACGTCACTTCAGGTTTCTCCCATTTGAAGATCATGTGCCTTTGTGTAATCAATTATTATAAGCCGATATATCCCCGAATCGGAAAGAGAAGATTGGGGCTATTTTGAGGTTGCTATCTTTATCTACTTCAATCTATAAGGAGCTCAAATATTGGTACGTTGTCATTCAGTTGTTGGTAACGGCAGGCTTATTTTGGTATAGCGGCGAACGCAAATCACGTTCTTGTGTTGAATGCGCGTTATGAGCGTTGATTTCTCTACCCACCTGCGTAAATTACGGAGTTTTAGCAAGTTCAGATGGTCCTGAGATGAGTTTATCAAACAAACAGGCCTATAATACCTTTGACATGTGGTACGACAATATTCACGGTATGCTCAAGCTTTGCAGTTACGATGGCATAATAACTGTCCAGTGGTACTAAAATGATTCCATAGTCCGCAACATGTGCTCACCTGGGATGTGGACCTATAGAAGTGTCAGTATAAGAAACGCCGTAAGTAAAACGAACAAGCTGTATTACCTGGTGATGTTCGTCGGATATTTCGAATCTATCTGGCGCTGTACAAGACATTGATCAACGACGCTGCATACGAACCTCACCTATATATCCAATGCATAAAAATAGAGTTACAAACACATTACAGTCAGCTTACCGAACGTGCTTTACCAGGAGCTGTGTCCAAGCGGCGCTTCGACACTTAGCATCCCTCATGCTAGCGCCGATAACACCACTAGTATTTTACTATAACTTATAATAATAGCAGCTTATATATATATATATATATATATATATATATATATTTTAATATAAACACGCGCAATAGCGTAAATACGCCGTAGAATTCGTATAGGCTAGGCTTACATGATCATTTAACCCCAAAACTTGCTGGGGGAAGATTTGTCCACATCAAAATATTGATAGGCTTATTCTATCGCACGCTATTCGGTCTCAAATTAAGATATATACGTAATATTGTACAGCACAAAGTACAAAGCGTTACAAAGGCCGTGTATCTGAGTTGTATTTTAGAGACTGCTGCGAAGTTGATGTCGTATAACTTCCTTAGTCTAAATTACTTTAGTAATTAAGGAATGGATGTGAAATCAGCTGAAAATACCTTGCCGTATGCAGGATTGCTATGGTTCGACTGAGACGAACTTAACAACAACTACGATTTCTTTACGTGCTTGGACATTGTGTTAAGTTAGCGTTTTGGGATCTGGGAATAACTAACTGCATTACTCGACTCGTGTAACATCTACCTAAACAACGCAAATTCAGAGCTATTAATTGACTTCAGAACAAGAGCATGCGAGGACGTTCTCATGCCAGACGTGCACGATGCGCGTATGATATAAGCCAGACATCCAATTCTCTGAATTCATCAAGCGATCCGGCTGAATTAAGAACCGTTAACACAATGGTAGAACTTACTTCACAATGCATATTCAGCAAAAGATATTTCTGAAATAGAATTAATCTAAAAGTAACTTCATAGCCTTGGGTGATCTGGTGCTAAATAAGTTTTCAACATGCTTCTAGTGATCCACTTCCAAATGACACTACACACTGAGCAAACAGCTAGCGACGGGAGGTGTCACGTTTAATACAAACAGCTGCTTTTTCGTAAACTTTATCGATCGAAACAACTGCGTTTAGTCTGCGATGCTTAATTATATTAGTAGGTTTAATATTGATTGATACCTGGCGTGTCCTACTGCTAGCTTTCGTATTAGTTAAAAAACGAAGAAGAAGTTTTCGCTAGTTAGTTAAGTATAAGACTCTTTCCGCGCTATTTCATCGTAGGTCATATTGGGATAATTGCAGGCATAAAGTTTATTCTTTCCCAATATACTGGACCACCCGTTTAGAGGAAGTTGCGTCTTATATTGATTGCCTAGAATTCTTTTTGTAAAGACTCGTGTAACGAACGAGACATTAAAACTGTTTGTTTCTGGGAAAGTGCACTGCTTTCCATAGCGGAAAAAATCCGAATGAAACGATCTGTGTTCCCATACACGTACCAAGTTAGCGACCGTTCGACCTGGGCAATAAGCTATTAGGTAACAACTACATTTTCGTTTTTATTGCCAGTTGGAAGTGTTTGATCATGATGACGAACGCCGCATTACCTATCGAACCATGAGAATTGCTTACGAAAATAGTAGATATATATTAGCAGCTGAAGTACTATTTATTGGAATAAAGATAGTTCCTGTGGTAAGTTAACAACGCGTGTTTCAAATAGAATACTCAAAGGTCTTGTAATTTGTTTTTGTAAAGGTTAAATTAGGCTAGAAAAAAACGTACGCATCACTAGTATAGAAAGATAATAAGAACGGTGTGAAATGAACAATCGATAAAACGTATAGGAAAGAAACTTACTACCACCATTAATAGTAGACTTCACATAGAAAATCGAAGCTATAATCTTTTTAAATAGAGGCATCTTTACAATAGGATCTATGAGAGAAGTCTGTTCATTTGCTTAATTAGTATCTGGCTAATGTGTCCTATAGTATTTGTACAACACTGACAAGCAATGGTTTATATAAGCGTTGTACTGAGTGGAAAGCAATGCTCACAGACAATTTCCCCCTAGAAATTTTTTTGCTACTAACCTTTTTACCGTTTGGTAATTTCTCGTCGAATTCCTTGCCAATTTCGAATTTCGTCGTCCATGTGTTAGACCAAACCTCGGTACAAATCTCCCATTCACTGTCGTTCTGAATAGAAAAACAAGATTTTTGTATGTAGAATAGTATCTAAACAATAAATAAATACTAAAACAGGTTTCTATGAAATGTATTATAGCTCACTTTGTTTTTTAGTAGTAGGCGTATGTCAACCAATACTGACATGTGTAATCTCTTTGTTAACGATGTCCACGTCGAAAAATTCAAAAAAGAAAAAAACGAAAATCAAATTTTCGGCCAAAAGTCTATAATAATAATAATAATAAAAATATGGGGAATTTTCATTCCTTTTCGCTCTTCCAATTTGTTTGATGGAAATGCTTCTTAAAATTTTTAAAGAAAACAGCGATTATTCGGGCAAAAATAATACCAGAAAAGCGGACGGGCGTAGATCCGCTACGATAAACGACCCAACATGAATCGTTCAAATTTAAAAGGAGTCCTAAATATCAACATCAGACTACAACGTATACATAACATTGTAGATTCCATAAATATGCCTATCAACATGGATCTGCAACGACGGCACAACTGAAGGCTCGAAGATCAAGAACGCCCTGCACGTAAAATGATCACGTACATCCTACTTTCTACAAGTTAAACTGTTGCAACAAATGGTTCTGTAGATTAGTTTGTCACAACGTATTTCTACGATACCCAGATTGAATGCGAATGTGACTTGGGTTAGTTTGAGAGACACTGGGCTGTAGAGATTTCGAACAATCTAGCAGAAACTAAATTAGATACCATTAGAACGCTAGTCCTGGAAAAAGGTTCGGCTACCATGAGAAACAAATTTCTTAGTTCTTGTTTAACACAGTAGGTTGCCATCGGGCAAGTTTCACGGAGATCCTCTAACCTATAAGGGATCGATGAGCAAACTAGTAAGATATCAAAAGAATTCCATGTGCTCGCAATTCTACTGGACAATATCTGCTTTTGTAAGGCACCCTGCCAATATGGCATTTGGTTGAAAGAACCGAAGACACCCATTTTTTCGACTGTCAGAAGACTGAAGCGAGGCTTCGATGCTCAAGGGCGGGCGGGTTAACTTGTCCTGCGCTCCATTGTATGCCGAATCTCTGACCGAAGTAGCTTCATGAAAAATGCCCTCGACGTTCTCACGTGCACCAGTCTGCGTCGTGACGTATGCAGCACGAAAGAACACAAGCAAGTTCCGTGCAGTCCAGCTAACAATTAGCTTTTTCTAAAACATGCAACAACAAGTGTCTTACTTTTCGTGACTCAGATCTCTTCAGTAGGGCGCAGTGCTTCTTAACCTACTACAGCCACCGTCATCAAAAGAGTTTCAGTGGAAGTGCCCATTTTCCTATCTTTGCATTGTCAACGTCGCGACGACTTCAACTTCTTACATACTCGTCGTCAATTTCTTCCCCGAACGCGGCACTTCACTGGTAATAAAGGCCACACTGCGCATACGATGTATTTTTACGGCTTGACTTGAATAACGCACATGTAAAAGACAAGTGTTAAATAATCGGCGTTAGGGGTTGCTGAATTACAACTACAGAGGAAACACTATCTCATAATGGGCTCGGCTGTTTACGCTGCAGCTATGCCAACAAAGAAAGATATGTCCGTCGACAGACTTTCGTCATGTCGTCACGCCGTTGGTTTTAGCTTTGTAGAGATCTTCGTTGTTATGCCCTATAACCTATTTAAATACTGAACGCTTCCGAAACTTCTTTGCCACGCGTCTTCCGTATTTAACGGTGAAAGCTATCAAATTTGTGCGACCTCATTCTCAGGCTGATAAATCACGAGACGTATAGGCAACACTGGAAAAATAACAATGCTAATATTTGACAACGGATAGTTTTTGGTTTCAGTCATTTTTTATCGACACGCTCACGGGTCTGAATCAACTACCTGGCTGGTCGTTGCTATCAATATTATGAAGTGAACGCTAAACACAGACTATTTTTATAATATACGTTCCTGTGTCATACGCTAGAATGCTTGTAGCTACCTTTTTCCTAATACAGAAAAAGAACAGAAGAATACATATATTAGACGTTACAGATTGGGCGCTCTTTCTCAGCAACAATATTTTGTTCTCGGATCAGTTTTTGCTAATTACTCGAGGCAATTTCCAAGCGGAGCCTAGCTCCCATCTTACGGTCGCGATTAAAGCACACAACATACGTATGTCAGTAGATAAACGTCAAGCAAATTTTTCATTCTAGCCCTGCGTGGAATTCCATGTTTACATAAAATTCACAGGTTTATATAGAAAGCACGAATACTGTAACCTTGTGTGACTTGATACGACGTTAGAGCGCTTTTAACAAGCGCACTGGTTTACTTAAAAAGTACATCTTTATTGTCAACCGTTGCAAAAGCCCACATACTTTGTGGGTGGAATCTATAGACGATCAACGTGCCGCTGGATTACGCGCTAAGATACGTTAGAAGCGTTAGTCGTTGACTAAACTTTATAATACGGAGTAATGCAAGTACTAGGGCGATCTTCGGGCGTTAATTTCAGCACTGCGTTAAGAATACAACTCTATATAACCAGATATGACGAGGTTGCTGCAAATCACAATGTTCCAAATGGAAATTTTCAGTGAAATACACTTGCACTGTTCAATATCATGGCCGACCGTAGTGGCAGTACTATATGGTCTTGCTAGTTGTTGGCAGATAGAAACATGCATTGGCCGGCTGAGAGGATATATCGAACATTTCGCGCAATAGATTATTTCATAACAGTCCTCTTAGGTTGAATTATATTAATCCGTAGACTGTTTGATATTTAAAAGCCAACTTAGTTGTGTTACCTATGCAAGTTCTAAAGGGGCTTTAAGCAACGATAGATCAGTCTTACCTTTATTAGTATGGTTAATGTAGGTACAGTTTTAATTGCCAGTTTTCTCATGATTAAGCCGACACCAAACGAAGCCATTAGCGCTTCAAAATCGTCACTGCTCTCTAAGCGCCAAACTCCCGCTAACGAGTCTGCCATGGCTGCATACACCTTGCCAACTAAGTTGCCACCGATTAGAATTTCACGTCGGCTATGCGGCAACTGATTTCTATGTCCGAAAGACCCTTCGTTGTTCTTTTATCCAGTGGCCTGCAATCGATAAGCAGATTCTGCTAGTTCCTATTTTAACTTTTTTTGCTTTAAACGATATTTAAATTTTACTATTTACCGCAGAGTTATGAACTCTTTGGAATTACCATATATATATATATGCGTGTAGATAGTCAATTCGTTTCTTTCACTATATGCGCTTGAGTCTTGTTAGACAGAGCTAATGAGCTGTAGGACAATACGTGTGAAAAACAAGCGGCTCCTAAAGGGAAGAAAGTACCTATCTTTTCATTAATTAAATTATTGCGTCCTTTAGTCAGTGGTAAGGAAATCAACATAGGTTGGTTAAATGTGGAGTTAGGTCCACGCCGATTGGATAGAGAGTGCTATGATGATATAAATAAACGCTTCCGATGGTTGGCTTCCAGCATGAAACAGCATTAGTTTCCAATCTAGACCATCACGTGTCCCTCCCTATAAAGTGAATTTGGTGCACAAACACGTTTTGACTGTAAATTCACAAGATATACCACCCACCATTAAACGTAAAGCCAATACCATTCACATAAACAGTTCCTTTTTTTTCTTTGGAATAAACAGTCGAATCGTCTTGACCTAATGAATTTGCTTGTCTCTTCTGTACAAAGTTCCCTTCATGGGCTTCAAAGATACCATTTATAGATATAGCTTTTCAGTGTCTCAGCACAAGAATTGTGACCAGATTTAAAGTTTGCCGACGGCAGAGCATGTCAAGAGCACCACCGTTTCCGCCATTACGGGAGACACTCGAACGTCTTTGAAAGCAGATTGTCGCAGTTAAGCCAGTATCTGATGGAGCACGTGATATTATTGTATCCAAACCTTAACAAATTCATTTTGTTGACAGACTTCATAAATGCAAGGGCTCTGGACTTAACGATTGTTTCATGTACTTTCGTTTCCACCTGGATTTTACACATATACTTGGTAACAACTACAACTATATATGAGCCGATATTAGATTTTTAACAATTTTTCTTTTATTTTGAATGTAATATAATAGGCGACACCCTGTTGCTGCCAAAAGGTGTATTTAGCTATTGGCAGCCACTGCCTGACACAGACACAATTTACTATTTGCCAAAAGAAATCAACCGAAACAGAGAGTCACCATCGGAGTTTACAAAGTGGTAAATGCATCTTATCAAAAAAAAAAAAATCTGTAAGCAACTGAGCACGGCATGAAGTCTATCAATATTAAATGACGCTTTAGACGCTGCCGACAACGAAGGCGTTAAATGAAATCTACCCAAACTTTTTTTTTTCGCTTTCAGTACGCTGATTTGCAATGAAATCTATCTGTTATTATTAAATCTACTATACATATTTTTAGATACATTCTTACTAAATTTAGAAATGGCGAAAACTTTTTTTGATCATAGAAGCGGCTGCCTTATAGAGGAACACCATTAGTCAAAATATCTTCTAAAATTCTTATAGACAGTAGATTATCTCAATATTAAGCTATCAAGAATTAATAAATGGGCCATCATTATTTTGCCTACAGTTGCTCTCGTAAGTCAATGTACGCGGGCATTTCTAAGTTTTGTATTAATTCTATTGAGCAGATCGCCGATAATGAGAGACTGAAAATTAACTTACATTCGTACCGGTTCTTATCGCCGCGATATTTACGCACCCGTCCTATTATATCGTGGGTCTCCATTGTTAAATGTGAATGTCCTGTTTGTAACTAAAGTCCTGTTCATACAGGTATTGATCGTTTTCGCGCTTTTGGTATCGCACGCTAGAAGATTAGCATGACGCAGCATTATTAAAATCCTCTATTATGGCCATCTTCTATAATTAAAGAAATCATTCAACAGTCCTGAACTATATGTGGAGCACGTCGAAGCTGTTGGAACGATTATTGCAACATCGTTAACAAAAAAGTTATTAAAAAAAAAAATGAACCGGCATCCGCTTTGCAGATTAGCTTTAATGACAAACTTCAGAAAAATACAACTCATCTATTTGACTTATTACCGGACTAGATCTTCCTTAGTTATACGTACTCAAATATATATATATGTGTAGAGTATATGTGCAAAAGAATTTGATAGAGAATGGCAGAGACGGCTCTGTAACGCGTCAGTCGTTCGCTGCCCTTGTTAAGTGACCCTTTAGCTTTGTGAGCAATTTGTTCATTGCTTATTTATATGACAAGCTCTAGTAAACACTTGCCTATTATTTGCAACGATTGAAATTTTTGAAGGACTATACAAATGAAAGTCTCTAGGTTTCAGGACACTCAGGCATATCATCGGTTGTGATGATATTCCGCGTTATAGCTGGTAAGTTCACAGTGATACGAGTAAACAATCAGAGATTGTTAGGGAAAAACATACAATTGTCTTTCCTCTGTCGTCTCTTGAGTACACGACAGCAGTACTTGTTAATACGTCTTATTTAACGTTTTGTAGGAACGACACTATAGATCATACGCTGTCTGGTATTGCGATAGATCTGTTCGCCATCTGACTAAAAGCCAGAATCGTAAAGTTACAAATGAATGAATAAATGTTGTCGCTTTCGGCCTACTGTAAGTTGTTAACCAGTTTTCGTGACAGATAATATTTACGTCGATAATAACGTTCGATCAAATCGCAGCAGTTGCTTGGTAATCTACCTAATAATTTGTCGTTGAATGAACACTGGAAGCAAAAAGAAATACGAGAACACGTGCTTATAATCTGGGTCTCTATTAATTAGACCGTCCACAAATGCAGATTTCTTGGCCAAGTTAATTGGTGTTTTTCCACCGATATGCAGGTAGGGGCTGCTCGTATCTTCATGGCCCCGGTCAAACTTCCTTGAGGTTAAAATATACTCGACGTCCAATGGTGTAACAATAAAATTATAGCGTGTGTTTGTTTTCGTACAGTGGCTGACTTCTCATAAAGCGTTGCGAAATAACCACCTCAGAAAAAATAGGTAAAAAAAAATATAACTTTTACACAACCACTACATAATTATCTTACTGGATTATCTGATCTTCATTGTTGCGTGATGTCCAATAATGATTATTTATGGGCCGTGTTACTCTCCCATGAACTCGGGAAGGAACCAGCATAACGTAAAATCATATACATTTTAAAGCACACAACCAAACTACAGTTTAAATTAAGGTGACGGCTAGATAAAAGCCGTCAGGCGAGGTAATGAAAAAAGGCTGCAAAGTACCTGCTCATTCTTCTTTGCGAGACGATCTTTCTTTTGTAGCGAATTCACCAATTGAACTATAGCCGTATATTGTAGGGACATACCTGTTTTTTTCTGTTCGAAACCGTTATATTCATCGAACGTTTGCGTCGACCGATATCCAATGTCGAGTGGACAACGTTTTGTATCTCATAGTAATGACTAACCATTTGTTGGTCAATACGTAAAATAAACTTGGTCAATCTGTGCGCTGTTTATTTCCGGCGACTGTTACTATCTACGAGCTGATTAAGTGGTCAAGGGTCAATCTGACCAAAGGCGACAAACCGACTCAACAAGCATACACGTGCGCGCACTCTTGGTCCGTATCTTTTTTTAATTCATTTTTCGGAACTCTACGAATGACAGTGCTTGACAAGAAGTCTACTATGTCTACCACCCGTTTTATTAAACGGGTAGTATTTTGCTACAATGAAAGTGTATTTAAAAAAAAATGTTATACGGGGCAACGTACGCAACACGTAGCCACGTTGTTCGTGGCCATAACGGGCGTCAGACGATCTACCCGTGATGATATGTGGCATTTCATTCGCGTCTATGTTTAGCGGTGCCCTCCTCGCGACGATTGCCATCGCGGCCCTCACCCTACGTCACAGTGGGTAGCCTGTCGCCTGCGGTGTCTAGCAGTAACCGACGATCAGTTTAATATTGGCGCGCTGAACAAGCTCAGTCGTCAAGACCAGCTACCGGTCATAGGTAACGGATCTGGGCTTCCAGCTGCTAGAAGCAATAGTGTTCAGACAATAGCTGCACGCGGCCTGTGGATTGCATATTGTGGCATGAAGACAGTGTCCTGACAGCGATAGATAAATATATAGGGTGTAAAAAATACAGTGTTAGTTCTAGGTGATCGAATCGGGGCCGGATTCAGCATGCGACTTTTACCTACGTTCAAATACCCGAAGCCAAGGCGAGCCCAAGTGAAAGAAGTGCTTCACGGAATCGAGGTTGATGATGTATATCGCTGGATGGAAAATCCTGATGCTGATGAAACGAAGGCATTTGTAAAAGCGCAAAATTCTATTTCGAAACCGTTTATTATTAACGAGTGTGTTTCTCGCCAAGAAATGAAAAATGCTCTGAGCGCTGTTTATAATTATGAGAGATTCACCGCGCCACGAAAAGTTGGCGCTTATTATTACTACAATCATAATAGTGGGTTACAGAATCAGTCGGTGATTTATCGAAAAAAAGAACTCAGTGATGAGTCAGCAGAAGTTTTCCTTGATCCTAACGTTTTCTCGGAAGACGGTACTGTCGCCATAGCAGGTGCATATCCTTCGAAAGCTGGCAACTATTATGCTTACGCCATTTCGAAGTCCGGCTCTGACTGGAGAACGATCTACATAAGAAGAACTTCCGACAAACAGGATCTGCCTGATCGAATTGAAAGGGTCCGGTACTCAAACATGGCATGGGCGCATGATGAGAAGGGTTTCTTTTATGGACAGTATCCCGATTGGAAAGGGCACGATGTGTCGGGTACCGATGCCAAAGCAGCGGAAAACCAAAAAATCTACTATCATCGGTTGGGCGGAAATCAAAGCGAGGATATACTTGTGGCCGAGTTTCCGGATCACCCTCGATGGAGAACTCGTGTCGATGTTTCTGATTGCGGAACGAAGCTTATCCTCGAGACATACGCAGATCTCGTCAGTAACATGGTGTACGTCGTCGATATTTCATCGGAGCTCAAACCACTTCCACCGCTGAAAACAATTAGGGGCACGTTTACCTCAAAACTATCGTACATAACTAATGATGGGGATACCTATTATTGGCGAACTAATATCGATCGTCCGAATTACGCTGTGATCAAACTCAATATCAACGAACCGGAGAAATGGGAAGAGGTCATTCCAGAGGACCCAAAAAGGGCCTTGGTGTCGGTTGACGTCAGGGGTCGAAACAAATTTATCGCCAGCTATATTGAAGACGTTGCCACAGTGATTGAGATTTTCAATATGAAAGGAGAACGACTACAGAAACTACCCTTTGACATCGGAAGCATTACTTTGGTGAGCGGCGAACGACATTTGTCGGAAGTGTTTTTTCAGCTTGTCTCATTTGCTAACCCAACGATAGTCTATAGATGTGAGCTGGATCGAACCCCACTTGCTCAACTGGTCGAGTACAAAAGAGTTGAGTTAAAGTCGTGGACAACTGAGGATCTGAAATACAAGCAGGTGTTCTTCAACAGTGCTGACAATACAAAGATACCGATGTACATAATGCATCGCGCCAATCAAACGCCAAGTCGTTCTAACCCCGCACTGATGTACGTGTACGGTGGATTCGGTACATCGTTAACACCGACGTTTTCACTATTCAACCTCATGCTTGTTTACACACTCGGTTTCTTTGTGAGCATTGCTAACGTTCGCGGAGGCGGTGAATACGGCGAACGGTGGCACGACGCCGGCCGTTTGAGGTATAAACAAAATACCTTGGACGATGTTCACGCAGCAGCAAGATTTCTCGTAGAGAACAATTATACGTCTGCGGCAAACCTAACGTTGACAGGCCGCTCGAATGGCGGCTTCGTTACGCTAGCCAGCGTGAATCAACGACCAGAACTTTTTGGGGCAGCAATTGCCGGCGTTCCCGTTGCAGATCTTCTAAGGTTTCACAAGTTTACTATTGGCCACGCATGGGTGTCGGACTATGGTAGCCCGGACAAC